CTTTACTTCCCTTGCCTTTGGGATCAAATTCATAAAATCCTCCTTAAGACCAAGATCTATAAGTTTAGTACCTATTTTTACTTCTATGCAATTTATTGTTTCAGGTCTTATATTTAGGTCTTTGATCCATTTTGAGTTAATTTTTGTACATGGAGACCAACTATAGTCTAGTTTCATTCTTTTGTATGTGGCTTTCCTATTTTCAAGATTGCAGTTCTGAAAAAACACGAGTTACAAGAAAACACTGATAGACAGTTTAATGAACTCAGAAATAAAATCAGTGAACAAAATGAGTACTTTACCAAAGAGATTGAAACTTTAAACAAGAACCAAGTAGAGATTGTGGAGATGAAGAGCTCAATAAAAGAGATCGAGTATGAGCTGGCCAGCTCAGGAAATGCTGAGCAGCTGCAGGAAAGAACTGGTGATATCAAAGTAGAAATCTAGAAATAACTCAGAGGGAAGGAGACACTCGAACCTAAAGAAGTTTTTAATTTTGATTAAAACCAAGTCAAATTGATCTTTTGTTTTTCTGTTGCTCATGGTGGTGTATCTAAGAAGGCTTTGCCTAACCCAAAGTCACAAAGATTTAATCCTATGCTTTCTCTGAAGAGATTTATAGTTTTATCATTTACATTTAGGTACGTAATACAAGTTGTCCCAGCACCATTTGTTAAAAAAATTATATTTTCTCTGTTCAAAAATTATTTGACCATAAATGTAAGGGTTTATTTTTAGACTCTGAGTTTGATTTCATTGATACATGTATCTGTCCTCATGCCAGCACCATGCTATCTTGATTATGTAGCTTTATAGTAAGCTTTCAAATCAGGAAATGTGAATCCTTCAACTTTGTTCCTCTTTTTCAAGATTTTTGTGACTGTTTTGAGTCTTTTCTGTTTCCATAAAATTTTATGATCACCTTGTCAATTTCTGCAAAAAAGCCAGCTGAGAATTTGATAAAGATTGCATTTTATTTGTAGATTGAATTGGGGAGTATTGCCATCTTAATATTATCTCCTATCCATGTCTTTCCATTTATTTAGATCGTCTTTAATTTCTTTCAACAGTGTTTTGTAGTTTTCAAAATACAAGTTTTGTACTTCCTTTGTAAAACTTATTTCTGAGTATTTTATTCTTTTTGATGGTATTGTGTACAAGCGTCTTAAATTTTGTTTGCCTGTGTATGTATGTGATACATCTCCCCTACCCCTGTCCTCTCCTTCTTTTTGTTCTGTTATAATTCCAGTGTTCCATTAATACCATGAAACATTCAGAAAACAGTTATTTGACCTCTTTCAGCAATCACGTGACATGCTTTTTGGTGTCAGTACTGTAACACGGGCATTGGGATATAAAATTGATTAAATCTCATGTGTCCTCAAAGAGGAGACACAAATGTGATATCTGAGGTTTAATACAACAAATATTAGAATGATGTAACGGAAGCATTGTAGAAGGAAGGATCAGGGAGACTTTGTTAGAAACAGTAACATTTAAGCTTGACCTCAAAATATTGGTAAGGATCTAACAAAACTGAAAAGACTTTCTGTTTAATTGAAACAAGATCAAGGAAATCATGAGACATAAAAGCACTTGGCTGTTCATAAGAGGTGAACAGGTTCATACGGTAGGTTTCAGATGACTAAGGGAAATGACTGAGGGCGAAATAGGAACTATAGAAGAATCTCGTTTTCATAGGTTTTAATAAAATGTTAAGAATTTTGTGGGCACTGGAGACCACTGAACAGTGTGTTGTCACGGGAGATTTTTTTAAATGAGGGGATGGTGTTGATGAGATCTGTATTTTGGAAAATTAACTCTGGTGTTTGCTGAGAGTGGATTGCAGTGGAGATTTAGTAGGGGCAGAATAATCAGAACAGCGATTTTCAACCGGTGTGCTACAAGAACTTTTAAAACATGCAGTACCTGACTGTTTAGTCAGGGGCACCGACCTCTTTCCCCTTAGACTGTCAAATTGAAAAATGACAACAATAGCCACTTGGTGTGAATGAATCAAAATTATACCTATTTTTTGTTGTTGTTAGATCAGCAAAAAATATAATTTTGGTGTGTCACAGTATTCTAATTAGTTTATCTGTGCCATGAGATGAAAAAGGTTGAAAATTGCTGAGTTAGAAGTCTGTTTCAGTGTCCGGGCAGAGAAGATGAAGGTCTTAACTAGGGGAGCAACAATAGAATTGAGAGGAATAGTTGACTTTGGGTTCTGACCAGCAGATTCTGAGTATTCAGGGGATTCAGTAGGAAAGGAGGGGAGTCTAGATAACCTTGAGTTGTCTCGTTTGGTTTATTGGATGATGGTAATGTGTTTCTGGTTTTTCTCTTTTTGTTGTTGCTTTGCTGTTTTAATTTTATTAAATAAATCACATAGGTTTGAGTGCATCATTGGCCATGAGATTGAACTCAGTCCCTAGCCCCCTCCCTTTTTTCATAGGACATCAGGTTTATATCACATGGCTCAAAACCCCAACCCTCTGATCACAGGGTTGTTCTTTTGGTTTTGTCCAGCCATGATACTGAGTTGTCATGAATATTACATACCTATAATATTGAGGGCTTATGAGTAACAAAGACTCTCCTTGGATTTTTAGACTCCCTCCAGAAACCAGGGACAAAGTACAGTCACAATCTTTATTATACAGCATACTCCAAACTCACTTAGCTCTCTCCTCTGGCATCCATCTCCAAGTTTCCAGATTCTGTGTGTAATCTGTCATTATCTTGATAGTTGTAAAGTTTATAACTTCCTTTCCATCTTCCTCTTCCTTCTCTGCTCCCCAAACACACATCTGCCTCTTTGCAGCCTTATGGCATTTGGTTAAACCAGTGATCAGTTCCTACATTGATAGGATGATATAAATCTTGTTTCTTTTGTCCCTTTTGAAGGTTTCAAGAGCCCTTATTTTTGGATTGATCCCTTTTCATGGGATCTGTTCTTTTAGGGATAAAAATGTTTTCCCTCTGCTGTTACTAAATTGGGATCAAAGTTGACAATACTCTGGAAGTTTTGTTTTTGTTTTTCTATTACCTGCTGTGTTAGTTTGCTAGGACTGCCATAGCAAAGTCCAAAAGACTGGTGGCTGAAACGAGAGAAATTTATTTTCTCATGATTCTGGAGGCTGGAAGTTCAAGGTCAAGGTGTCAGTAGGGGTGGATCTATTTTAAAAAAATATATTTTCACAGATTTTTAGAGAGAGAGGAAGGGAGAGGGAGAAAGTGAAACATTGATGTGAGAGCACATCAATCAGCTGCCTCCTGCACACCCCCTACTGGGGATTGAGCCTACAACCGGTGATGTGCCCTGACCGAGAATCCAACCAGCAACCTTTTCGTACCTGGGAAAGTGCTCAATCGAGCTGTAGGGCAGGGTTGGTTCCTTTTGGGACTTCTCTCCGTGGCTTGTAGATGGGTGTTTTTTCCTGTGTCCTCACATGGTCTTTCTGTGTTTATCTGTGTCCTAATTTCCTCTTCTTATAAGGACACTAGTCACACTGAATTAGGTGCCCTCTATAAGACCTCATTTTACTTTAATCACCTCTTTAAAGGTCTAATCTTTAGCTACTGTCACATTCTGAAGTACCTGGGGTTAGGACTGCAACATGATTTTTTTGGGAGCGACACAATTCAGCTTGTATACCTGTCTTACCTGTTTCCTCTGGATTTTTTTGTTTATCTGATTTCCATCTCTCTTTCCATATTTCCCTTGACCATATTATAGTCTTCGGTTGTCCTTGTATGTTTTAGAGTTAGGCTGTGAGGAGCTGGTTGGTTTAGTTTGTGTAAAGGCAGTTTGCCTATAAGAGGCTTTGCCATCAGGTAATCTGACTGCAAGTAGCCCTTCCCTTTCTGGGGCGGACCCTTACATGTCAGGATCTTTGGTTCTTTTTTCCTAGGGTTCTTCAATTTCTCTAGAGAATAATATTCTAGTTATCAGGACAGGGTGTGGAGGGCGCTTATACACCTTGCTGACAGTGGTGATAAGTGCAGGGTCAGGAAGAGGCCTGAGGAGTTCCACAGTTTGCTTTGCACATTGACACTTAATTACCCCTATTTTGCTTGGTATCCCTGAGTACTGGTCCCTTGCTTTTTAGTTTCTTCAGGGACTAAACTAATTCCTGCCTGACTGCAGGGTAAGGGCAGGGGCCGGCGTGTCTGCTCCTCACTATACAGAGATAGCTAACTAGCAAGTTCCTTCTCTGTTCTGAACCTCACCCTCATCTTCTGGGGCATCTGAAGCCTTGAGCACTTAAGGAGTTCTGTAGTATTCATTAGTGGGGTTTTATTATTTATTAGTTGCCTATGTGCTTTCCTAGAATCATCCTATGTAATCTTAATTGTAACCTTCTGAAAGGTTCTGTTAGCTCCTTTTTACACACATGAAAACAGAGGTTTAGAACAGAATTAGTGAATGGGAGCAGCAGGACTTGAATACAGGTGTATTCGACTTCAGAAACTCATTTTCTCCAGTTCACACTTCTGCCTTAGTTTTGTACAATGTTCATATATTGATTTGAACATATTAAAAAAGAATTGCTATACTAAGTATAATACAAAAATAAAGTGAAATTCAGCACACCTATCGGAATATAAATATAATTTATTTTTTATGAATACAATGAATCAGAATATCTCCCTTAAACAACTTTGGGACTAGAACAGTTTCTAGCATGTATCTGGGATTCAGGTGTAGTCATGGAGACAAATGGTGACGTTAGGTTCTGTCTGTCATGGTGTTGAACATTCATAGAACTAGGGGCTTGGTTTTCTGTTATTTTTCTGATATTTTCTTCACAGGACTAGCTAGAGTGTTCTTAGTAAATTTAACATTCAGTAGATGTTGGCAGACAACTGAAAAGTTCAGAATTTCATGTTTAAGAATACTTTTTATGTTTTGGTACCTAATATCTAGAATTCTTGTATTTTGAGTCAGTGCTTTATCTCTGTTGGCATTAATCCTTTTTTTATTTCTCTTTTAACAGATTCCCTTTGTAACTAGATCTCCACTTTGCTCAACAGAGCACAATGTCTCGTTCACGACAGCCCCCCCTTGTGACAGGCATTTCTCCAAATGAAGGGATACCATGGACCAAAGTCACGATTAGAGGGGAGAACCTGGGGACTGGCCCGGCTGACCTTGTAGGTAAGAGCAAGACTATGCTGTTATCCATGGCAAGTATATTTTTATGTTGGACAGTTGATGCAAGGTATATTATTTTGAAATAATGAAGGTGATAGAAAAATATTACTGTGGTCTGTACAGAATAATCTGAATAAAAATGAAAGAATTACTTGATTTTCTGATTTTTCTGTTAAAAATCATTATTTTATCAAATCTTGTCTATATTGTCTTTCACGAAGCCCTTCAGAAAGTTTCCCATAGCTGAGCTGTGCCTCCGTTTCTTCCGCTTTGCTCTCCTGCTTAGGGTGCCTACATAGTCTCCCAGCTATTTTTGCCCTCTTTAGCTTTCCTTTCGTTGTACAACCGTCTGTATTCCTTCTCAGGTGCTCTGTGAATTATGCCTCTTCTGTTCCTTATTGCTCTTCAGATTAAGCCTAAACTCCATCTCCTGGTGATGTCACCACTAGGCTCTTACCCTCATTCCTCCTAAAAGAGTCCCTCCCATCGAGTGACCCGTAGATCTTACTTGTTTCCTTTTCTCTGCCGTGTGGTTGCTCCCTCGTGGTGGAGAGCACCACACTGATCTGAAATGCATGGCCTCTGCCTGCCGAGCCTGGGGACTTCAACCAAAAATCTTCAGACTCACTCTCACCCATGCTAATCTACCTTTTTATTTAGGCTCCCCTAATATTTACATATTTAGAGCAAACTAAGTTTTAGTTTTTAGGGTCAGTTTATATTTTTTAATTCTTTTAAGCTCAAGGATATGAATGACAGAATACTATGCATCCAGTTGATACAGCACAAATATTATTAGATGTTGGTTTGCATAGTGTGTTTCTCTCCCTCGGTAACATGGAAGCCTGTACTTTGACTTACTTAAACGTTGATGTTTGTCAGTGGTTCTCACTGTGGCTTTTCTTAATCTCTTTTAGGACTTAAAAAAAATGCTCTGGCCCACTAAGTCTTTTTTTTTTTTATTTTTATTTTTAATATATCTTTATTGATTTCAGAGAGAGGAAAGGAGAGGGAGAGAGAGCGATGGAAACATCAATGATGAGTCATTGATCGGCTGCCTCCTGCACACCTCCTGCTGGGGATCGAGCCCGAAACCCAGGCATGTGCCCTGACCGGGAATCAAACCCTGATCGCCTGGATCCTAGGCTGATGCTCTGCCACTGAGCCACACCCTGTGGGCCCACTAAGTCTTTTTAAAAAAAATACAAATGAGTGTTAGATACAGCCAGGGAAGAGAGCAAATTAGAAATATAATTGTATGGTCAGTTAAGATTATTTTCCTCTGAACTCTGTGTGAGGTTATACTGATTCATTGAGAATTAGAAAGGGAGAGACTCTAGTATATGCTACTGAATATACATTCTCATTTCCCAAATACATTTATCTGGATTCAGACATTCTCTTGACTCTTTTCTTAGTTTGGTAAAGTACTGGAGATTATGAGTTGGAACTTGTTTTTCTTGCATTATAGCTGCTGATCGACGGATTATTTTCGGCCATTCAGAAACCCCTTTGAAAAGAGAAAGTGAACTGAAGCTCCACATTATGTTTATCAATAACTTAATTTTACACTTCCCAGCTAATTCTTTTTGCTAGTGTTTAAATATGGCTCACTTTATATTGTTTCTCTAGTTACAATTTTTGAGTCTTCAGTAAATAAAAGTTAAGTTTAATCTTATGAAGATAGTCTTATCTAATCCCATCTTGATTTTTGATATAACTCATTTCAGAATTTTCTTTATCCGAAGTGGAAAAATCCCCGGAATGTATGGAAAGAATCCATACAGATGGAGGTTATGTCCCACATTTTAATTGGCAGTCATTGTGAGCTCCTAAACATGAAGGTTTCTAGTCTATGTAAGTTATAATCTTGCTTTAGCTTCAGGCAGTGCTATTCTTATTTGACTAAATGTGTATTACTTTTATAAACCTTGGTAGTTCAGCTTTCAACCTGCCTATGCATTGCCAAGAAACCATTTTTTAAAAAAGCAAACTTAACCTACTAAATTGTTTAAGTGTTTTTAACTCAGATGATATCTACACTAGCCAAGTAAAACACTATAAGAACACTTTATTTGGAATTCTACAAGTGACTTAAAAAAAAGATGTTATTATATTTCACAAAGCAGATTTCTTAGCTTTCAGTAACTTAGCAAAAGTGTGCTTAAGAACTAGGTCTTATGATCTTATTGAATTCTCATGACATTTAAAATGATCCATTTGAATCTATGTTTAAAATTATATGGTGATTATTAATTTTTTTAGTTAAAATGCAGGATACACATTAAATCAGAGGAACACTGTTAGCAGGTATGGCCAAATGAATCTACTCTTGTTCTGGGGAGTATTTTTTCAACATGTACCATTACGGATATCTATTCATGTTTGCTCGTTTTAACATGTTTTTAAGACTTCATGTCTCTGTGGCTGGTAGCTGTTCCCATTCCTCAGTTTTAATCATAAGATAGTTCTCTAGCAGGGAACTCACTTTAGGAATGACTTCACAGTCAGCTGACATTTGTTGTTGAGTTTTTCTCCTTTCTGAAGTTAGTTAATATTTAAAATCACAAGAACCTTTTTGATGTAGTAAAATTAAAAAATACTAAGTTATGTATTGACCTGAGTGATATAAAAATGCCTACCATCTGTAATTAAACAGTTTGTAAATTAAAACATTTCCCATTCATTTAAAAAATACACAGACTGATACATGTATGCATAAAAATTATTTGAGCAAACTTGCGTTGAAGTGTTTCACAAGTACTTATCTTGGAGATGGAAAGGAGTTCCAGAGATGCTTTCAGTCTCTTAAATTGTTTAAATTTTTTGTAACAAAAATTGATTATCAGAAAAGATATCTAAGACATTCCCATTTTGAAAAAAAATTGAATTACGAATACATTTAAAAATGTGTGAATGTTATTACACATTTTAAAAAAACAACAGAAAACTTGATCTTAAAAGAATCTTTAAGTGTTTTATTAGTAAAACAAAATTTCAAACATGAATAAATAATAGATGTTTTAGGGAAATCTCTAAAATTCATTATTTCAATAAATGTCTTAAAAATGTAGTCGTTTTTATTCCTTCATTGTTAATATAACATTCTTACTTAATAGTGCTTTAAGTTGTAACAGAGCATGAATCCCTCCCAATGTTTTTTCAACCAAATTAGGCAGGTGTTCCTGGAAAAAAAATTATATTTGCCAAAACTTGACTGCTGAGCAGTATACACAGTTATATAGTGAGAAAGGAAAGTGTGGATTGGCTGGGTCTTCACCATACTTTGAGTTATTTTCTCCATAAATATTTATTATATTGGTACCTGTTCTGTGGAAATGGGAAGTAGAGAGGAAATCAGTTAGTAGACTAGTGGCAAGTTCTCTCGGTGTTCCACCTGGGGCCATGTCTTCCTCACTGAAATCTTCCAGTGCCTCCCTGTTTGGTTACTGCCTAAACTGTAATTTGTACAGAATCAGGGCCTGAGCTGCCAGGCATGAGCTGACTTTTCGGAGTGCCAGTTTATTGTGAAAGCAGAATGTAACATTGTGACAGTATCATTAGGGAAGCACTGAGGCAGCATGAACTGTCTTTAGAGGAATAATAAGCAGATATGAAAAATGAAATAGTAAATCAGTAATGCCTGAGAACACTTACTGGATTTACCAGACTCCAGGCTATGCTTAAAGTAAAGTATCTACTTTATTTAGTCCATTCTGTTACACCATGTATAATTGAACACTAGTAAAAGTTATGCAGGTTATTTTCAGGAAGGTGTATAAATGTTTTTAGAGAATGATATATACATTTACCCTTTAGAATTTTATATCAGTATCTTAGATTTCTAATAATAACAGTAAATTCCCTTCTACTACCCATGAAAGCAATTTAAGATTCTCATAGTCTAAGTGATCTAGAATGCCTACACATTATTATTATGGGCATTATTATCTAATTCCATTGATACTTGAAGAAACTTAAATATAATCTAAAAGAAGTCTTAAATGTTAGCGTAAAAGATTAGACAAAAATCAGTAGAGACTGGTATATTTGCAAATAGTATTGGGTGTATACAATAATAAAAATAATTATTGAACCTTGTTATTGCTTTATTTGTTTTTCAGTTCTTGAAAAGGCCTGTGTTACTAAGAGAAAGCAAAATTGTTTTCAATGTAATAGACATGATGAGCTCTTACAGTTGTTCTTTTGAACTTTGTTATATGCATGCTTTTATTTTCAGGTTTGACAATTTGTGGACATAACTGCCTCCTGACAGCAGAATGGATGTCTGCAAGTAAAATAGTATGTCGAGTGGGACAAGCCAAAAATGACAAAGGAGACATAATTGTTACAACCAAGTCAGGTGGCAAAGGAACCTCAACAGTCTCTTTCAAGCTACTCAAACCTGAAAAAATAGGTATTACCTTTCATCATGTTATTCTGAAGATGAAAATTTAAATGGGTTTTGTCTTTTAAAATTTAGAACTGGTAGATTAGTCTAAAATTTACCTACTGTTATATCTCACTAACTTAGATTCTGTTTATGTTTATTTTGACAGGAATGGTATATTGGTTAAAACTTGTATTACTTTTGAAAAGGCACCAAAGGGTGATGATCCTGACAGAACTGTCATTATAAATTCTTTATAAAATCTTTTCATTTAACATTTTCATGTGACAGTTTTAGTTCCTTGCTCTTGAATACATTTTTTGAATATATTTTTTTTTCTTCTGTTATATGGTTAAGATTTGAGGTGGAATGTCCTCCTGATTTTGCCAAATTAGCAATGATATTATCTAAATAACTGCTCTTTTCTTCCTTTTTCTCCATCCTTTCAGTTCTGGACAAAGTGTTGCTTTACCTGGAGGTGCTTTATTTCTTCAAACTAAAAATAACTCTTTATTGTACCCCATAGCACTTTACATGTTACATTTTTATATAGTTAACACCTGCTTTCTCATATTAGAGTGATTAAGAACATGGTCTGAGGACCCAGACTGACTATTAATCTGGTCTCTAGCACTACACACTGGAACTTGAATGCCTACTTTGTTTGTGGGTAAAAGTGGAGTAATCATATTACCTACCTTACAGGATTAAATGAGTTAAAAGATACATGTAAAGTGCTTAACATAGCCCCTTACACAAAGTAAGTGTTCAATAAATTAATAATTTTTCTTTTTTTAAATTAAATTTATTGGGGTGACATTAGTTAATAACATTTTATAACTTTCAAGTGTATAATTCTGTAGTACATCATCTGTATGTTGTACTTACTGTGTGCTCACCACCCAAAGTCTAGTCTCCTGTCACCATATATTTGACCTCTTTTACTCTCTTAAGCCTCTCCCCCATATCCCTTCCCCTCAGGTAACCACCGTACTGTTGCTTGTGTCTATGAGTTTGTTTTGTTTGTTCATTTGTTGCTTCCTTTTTTATCTCCCACATGAGAGTAGTATTCTATTGTACGTATGAACCACATCATCTATATTCAGTCATCCGTCAAAGGACACTTGGGTAGTTTCCACATCTTGGCTGCGCTGTATAATGCCCCAGTGAACATAGGGGCACATATATCTTTATGCATAAATGCTTTCAAATTATTAGGGTAGATGCCTAGAATAGGGGTTGCTGGGCCATATGCTAGTTCTATTCTTAATTTTTTGAGGAACCTCCATACTGTTTTTCATAGTGGTGACAGCATGGATAGATCTTGAGAATATCATGCTAAATGAAACAAGTTAGAAAAAGTTAAGAACAATATGATTTCACTCATATGTGGGATATAAAACTGAAAGTAACAAATGAACAAACAAGAAAAATGAACAAACAGAAACAGACATAGAGAGCAGTATGGTAGTTACCAGAGGGCAGGGGGTTGAGGGGGACCATAAAGGGTAAAGGGGTCAAATATATGGTGATGGAAGAAGATATGACTTTGGGTGGTGAGCACACAATGCAATGTACAGATAGATCATTTATCATAGACTTGTATACTTGAAACCTATGTAATTTTATCAACTAATGTCACCCCAATAAATTTAATTTAAAAAAAAGAATTAAAAAACAGAAAAAAATTTCTTACCAGCACTGTATGAGGGTTCCCTTTTCTCCACATCCTCTTTAACACTTGTTATTTCTTATTTTATTGATAATCATTCCAACAGGTGTGAGGTTATCTCATTGCGGTTTTGATTTACGTTTCCCTTATAGCTAGTGAAATTGAGCATCTTTTCAGATATCTGTTGACCATTTATTTCTGTCTTTTTGGGAAAAGAGTCAATTCAGGTCCTCTGCCCATTTTTTAATGGGAACAATTGTTTTCTTGTTGAGTTGTATGATTTTTAAAATATATTTTGCATATTAGCCCCTTATTGGAGGTGTCCTTTGCAAATATTTTCTCACATTCAGTTGGTTGCCTTTTTGTTTTGTTGTCAGTTTCTTTTGTGTGCAGAAGCTTTTTAGTTTGATGTAGCCCCATTCATTTATTTTTCTTTTTACTTCCCTTGCCCTTGGGGTCAAATTCATAAAATCCTTTTTGAGACCAAAGTCCATAAGGTTAGTACCTATCTTTGACTGTTTCAGGTCTTATATTTATGTATTTGATCTGTTTTGTGTTACTTTTTGTATAAAGTAGCAGTGTTACATAGCAGTCTAGTTTCATTCTTTTGCATGTTGTTTTCTAATTTTCCCAACACCATTTGTTGAAGAGTATGCCTTTTCTCCATTATGTTTATGGCTTCTTTGTTGAAAATTAGTTGCCCAAAGATATGGGTTTATTTCTGGGCTCTCAGTTTTGTTCCATTGGTTCATGGATGTGTTTTTTGGCAAATACCATGCTTTTTGATTATTTTAGCTTTGTAGTATCATTTGAAATCAGGGAGTATGATACTTCCAGCTTTGTTCTTTTTCCTCAGGGTTGCTTTGGCTACTCAGGGTTTTCTGTGGTTCTATAAAAACTTAGGGATTTTTAATTCTATTTCTTTGAAAAATGCCATTGGGATTTTGATGGGGATTGCATTAAAATTTGTATATTGCTTTAGGTGATATGGCCATTTTAACTATGTTAATTCTTTTAGTTCATGAATATGGAATATCTTTCCATTTCTTCATGTTGTCTTCAGTTTCTTTCAACAATGCCTGGTCGTTTTCAGTGTATACGTCCTTCATATCCTTTGTTAAGTTTATTCCTAGATATTTTATTCTTTTTGTTGCACTTGCAAATGGAATTGTCGTCTTTTTTTTTTTCCTTCCTGAAATTTAATATTTGTATATAGGAATGCAATGACTTTTTTATAATGATCCTGTATCCTGCAACTTTACTGTACTTGTTTATTGTTTCTAATAGTTTTTTGGTGACATCTTTAGGGTTTTAATTAGAAAGAATTACATCATCTGCAAAATGTGACAATTTTACTTCTTCCTTCCCAATTTGGATGACTTTTCTTTCTTTCTCTTACTTGATTGATCTGGTGAGGTACAACCAGTATTATGTGGTGAAAGTGAACATCCTTGTCTTGTTCCTGATCTTAGAGGAAAAGCTTTTAGTTTTTTACCATTGAGTATATTAGCTGAGGGTTTATCATATATGGTCTTTATATGTTTAGGGAATTTCTTCTATACTCATTTTGTTGAGTAAAGTTTTATTAATCATAAATGAATGTTGCATCTTGTCAAATACCTTTCTGTGTTTTTGATAAGGTTGTATGATTTTTGTCTCTTTGTTAATGTGGTGTGTCACATTCATCGACTTGTATATGTTGAGCCATCTTTGCGCCCCTGGACTGAATCCCAGTTGATTGTGATGTATTATCTTTTTAATGGATTGTTGTATTCAATTTGCTAGTAATGATTTAGGATTTTTGCATCTATGTTCATCAGAGATATTTGCCTATAATTTTTGTGTGTGTGTGTTATCCTTACCTGGTTTTGGTATCAGAGTAATGTTGGCCTCATAAAATGAGTTAGAAAGTTTTGCCTCTTTTTTAATATTTTGGAAGTGTGAGAAGGATAGGTGTTAAATTTTCTTTGAATGTTTGGTAGAACTCCCTGAAGCCATCTGGTCCTGGACTATTACTTTTTGGAAAGTTTTTAATGACTTTCAATTTCCTTACTGTGGATTATTTATATTTTCCAATTCTTCGTGGTTCTATCTAGGAAGGTCATACATTTCTAAGAACTTGTCTCTTCTAGGTCATTGAATTTGGTGCTGTATAGCCTTTCGTAGTGTTCTTGTACCTTCTCTTTCATTTCTGATTTTATTTTTTATTTTTTCCTTAGTGAATCTAGCCAGAAGTTTGTCAATTTTATTAATCTTTTCAAATATCCAGCTCTTTGCTGCATTAATTTTTGTATTGTCTTTTTGTTCTCTATTTCATTCATTTCTGCTCTAATTTTTATTATTATTTTTTTCTTCTAGTGACTTTGGGCTTCGCTTTTTTCCCCCCTCCGTAGTTTTTAAAAAATTAAAAAAAAAAAAAAAATCTTTATTGATTTCACAGAGAGGAAGGGAGAGGAGGAGAGATAAAAACATCAATGATGAGAGAGTCGTCATTGATTGGCTGCCTCCTGCACACCCCCTGCTGGGGATCGAGCCCTCAACCTTGGCTTGTGCCCTGACTGGGCATCGAACCATGATCTCCTGGATCCTAGGTTGATGCTCAACCCTGAGCCAAGCTAGGCCGGGCCCCCTCCCTAGTTCTTTACAGTGAAATGTTAGGTTGTTTGTTTGAGATTTTTCTTGTTTCTTGAAGTAGGCCTGTAATGATGTAAATTTCTCTCTCATTACCACTTTGGCTCAAAAATTTATATATATATTGTATTGTCATTTTCATTTGTCTTTACGTATCTTTTCATCTCTTATTTCATCTTTGACAGAGGCATTGTTTAGTAGCATGTTGTTTTATCTCTACACATCATCTATTTTCTTTTTGCAGTTGATTTCCAGTTTCAAAGCATTGTGTTCAGAAAATATACTTGGTATGTTGTCAGTCTTCTTAAATTTGTTGAGGCTAGTTTTATGCTCCAACATATGGTTTGTCCTTGAGAATGTTGCAAATGCACTAGAGAAGAGTATATATTCTGGTGTTCTTGGATGAAGAGCTTTGTAAACATCAACTATGTCCACTTGGTATAGTGTGTCATGTAAGGCTGATATTTCCTTATTGATTTTCTGTTATGATATATATCTGTTGCTGTCAATGAGGTATTTAGGTACCCTACTACCATTGTGTTTTTGTCGATTTCTACCCTTAACTCTGTTAGTAGTTATTTTATATACAGGGTGGGGCAAAAGTAGGTTTACAGTTGTTCGTATGGAAAATAATAAATAATAATACAAGAATAAACTTTGTGTTTCATGTACTCACAGTTGCAAACCTACAAGCCCCACCTTGTATTTTAGTGCTCCAAGGTTGGGTGCATATGTTATAATGTGTTATATCTTCTTGATGGATTGTCTTTATCATTGTAAAATGATTTTTTTCTCCTTTTACCTTTTTTTTCTTGAAATCTACTTTGCCTGATATAATTACGGCTACACCTACTTTTCTATGGATGCCATTTGCTTGGAGTATAATTTTCCACCTCTTTGCTTTGAGTCTGTGTTTGTGTTTGCAATTGAGGTGCTTCTCCTGAAGGTAGCATAAAGTTAGTTTCGGTTTTTGATCCATCCCACAGCCCTGTGTCTTTTAATTGGTGAATTAAGTCTATTTACATTTATGGTGATTATTGATATGTGAGGATTTTCTACAGCCACTTGATCTGTTTCCTGGTAGCTGTGTCTCCATTTTTGTTGTTGTTGGTTTGTTTTTTCCCTTGTCTTTCTGTTTATTTCAGTTTGGTGGCATCCTATGATTTTTCCCACTCCGTTTTCTCCTTTTTTATGCATGTGTCTCATTTCTACATTTCTTTTCTGTGGTTACCATTAGGTTTATACAAAAAAAGTTTCCTGTGTGCAAGAAACTCTGGTTGCATCTTATCCCTGGTTGCATCTTATCTCTATTTACCTGTGCAAGTTCAGTCCCCACCCCCCCTTTTATGTTTTTGTTGTACAAATTATCCCTGTTCATTGACTTCCCAATAGCAGTAGCTGTTGTCTTTTTCTTTTAATGTTTTTACCTCTTTTTAACCTTTGTGTTATATTTCAGTGTTTAATACCCTATCCTGAACAAGGGTTGAAATTTCCTGCATCTGTTAGTATCTTGCTCATAGTTTTGTATCCTTATGTCTTTTTGTTTCAAGTAGAAGATTACCTTTCAGCATTCTTGTAATGCAGAGCTTGTGGTGGTAAATTTCCTCAGTTTCTGTGTGTCTGGAAAACCCTTTATTTTTTTTCTTCATTTCTAAAGCTGGATTATTTTTTTGGATATGATTTCTTGCTTTGAATATTTGATTCCTCTTTGTCCTACCTTTAGGGTTTCTGCTGAAAAATCTGATAATAATCGAATGGGATTTTCTTATAGGTTACCATCTTCTTTTCCCTTACTGTCATGGGAAGTCTTCCTTGTTAATTTTTAACAGTTTTAATATAATGTGCCTTGGAGTAGGCATTTTTGGATAGAGATAATTAGGTGTTCTGTTAGCTGTTTGGATTTGGGGATCCAGTTCTTTCCATAGGGAAATTCTCATGGATTATTTGTTTGAATAGACTCTGGTCTCTCTCCTGCTTCTCCTTCTGGTGTTCTCCTTATTCTTACTATGCTGTTTCTAGTGGTGTCAGATAGTTCTTGTAGATTTCTTTCAGGTTTTTTTTTTTACTCTCGAGTTTCTCTCTTCTGCCACCTGACTCATTTCTGGGTTACTATTTCCTGTATCAATAATTCACTCCTCTATCTGGTCAGCTCTGTTGCCTAAGCTTGCTAGTTCATTATTCATTGTTTTTATGATTTCTTCATCTACAGAATTTCTGTTTCATTCCTTTTTAGTTTCAGTCTCTTTGGTGAAGTACTCCTTTTGTTTGTTGATTTTATTTCTGAGATCATTGAATTGCTTTTCTGAGTTTTCTTGTGTCACTCTGAGTTCTTTTAGAACTGCAGTCTTGAATTCTGTTATTTAAATCACAGTATTTCATGTCTTAAGTTTATTTTCTAGAGATTTTTACTTCTTTCTGAGCTTCCTTGGTTATTCATTGTGCTTGATGGGTTATTTCTCTGCCTGTGCATTTGTAGGAATGAAAACTTTTTAAAAAAGTATTTTTGACATTTCACTGTTTAGCAGGTTGATAAGTGGATGTCTTTTGTTTTACAGTAGGTGGTGCTAAAGCTCCAGTTTTTATTTTCTCTTATGCACTGCTGGGGCTTCTGGGATCTTTGAGCAACAGTACAGCCTGTCCTTGGAATATTCCTGGTATTTCCTAAGGAGGTGGGTGATCCTGCCCAGCCTAAGTCTTGGGGCACCACTCTTGAAAATTCACAGTGGTTGGCTGTGGTTCTTCTCATTGTTCTCAGTGCTGCTTTCAGCAGCCAGAAGCTTTCAGGCAAGCTGCTTTGAGTTGACCCAGCTGCCTCTACCAGGTTGCGTGGAGATGGGTGCAAAAGGGTTTGGTGGGGGAAGTGGTTTCGTGAGTGTGAGGTTCTGCTCTTCCTCGTGTATTTAGCTACAACGAGTACAGATCACTTAGGCTGGAAGTTTTTTTCTGCCCTTTTGCGATCTTCCAAGTGAGAATTTTCTGCCTGCCAGGCCACAGGTGTGGGTGGTTCCCACATCTGCTGAATCCTTTGTCCAGTGAAGGCTGGTTGTGGAGCTCTTTGACTGCTCTCTTCTCTGCCCCGACCCAGGGCCTAGCCTCATTGTGTGTCAGCCACTGAGGCCCCGTTGCTGTTTCTGCCCTTCTAGTTTGTCCAGTGGTGATTACACTTCACCCCTTCACTGTTACGGAGCCTCTGCAGGTAGTCTCCCCACAGCTTCCCTTTCTGTCTTGTCCCCTCCCTCTCCTGTCTCCATTGCTAGCTGAGATGCGCCCTCCTTCAGATGTTTCAGTGCAGGACGTGTTTCTGTGTCAGCAGGGAACCCTTTGTTGAATTATAACTGTCCAGCTTGTAACTTTAAGGGAAAAGACCTGGAGGTCCTGTCTTAACTGCTCTGCTGCTAACCAATAGTTTTTATTTTTCTCATAGTAATTTCTGAGCATGGCCATCCTCCCTCTTAAAATAAGAATAATATCAGATTCATCTTTTTGGTTCTATAATGTCTTGCACATGATCAGTTCTTGATTAATATTCGTATAATGTAGGAATATCAGAGGTGCAGTGAAACCCAGACTGTACTTCTCTCTGGTATAGAAAAGTAAATGATTTCACAAATTGTTTTTGCTTTCTGTCTTAGAGTATAGAGCTTTTCTACAGCATTATCTTCCTTAAATTCCTAGATTTTTTTTATAAATAGAAATTTAAGGAATTCAAGGGAAAATTGAAAATGGAACTTACATATGTACATATTATATGTGTATGCATACATGTGTAAGTATGTATACAATATCACTGTTTTTATGTACTCATTTTTATATTACACCTTTAAAAACTGAACTATGCAATTAAATAAGGAACTTGTTTTATGTTTTCTGGAGGAACTTAAAACATTTTGACAGAATCCAGCATTATTTCATGCCATATTTATACAGCAGATAAAGACAACGTATTTGGAAAGTATTTTATTCTGACCTCTCCCCTGCCAGGGCCTAGCACAGTGTAGGCTCAATAAAGGCTTATCTAACTGAACTTAGAAGTATCTGGACTTAAGCATAACCCCTCACAGAGTCTCCTTCCTGTTGTATCATGGAAGAAATGTGAGTGCTGATAAAATTAGTGGATCACAAAGGATCATGCATCTAGAAGTTGCCTGGGATCAAATATCCTTCCTTCATGAAGCCTTCCCAGTCCCCAGCCCCTCCTCTCTGCTCACTGGTACTTTGCCCATTTTCTCTTGCAGCCCAGATCATAAGAGAGTAAACTGTTAAGTTATATGTCAAGATGAGTGACAAGGAGCCCCAAAGAGGATGTGGTGCTGTTTTCAGAGGTCATATTTTTTTCATAGGAACTACCGAGTCATTTTTCCTGAATCTGAGTCAGTCCCATTATATAAGCTATGCATTCCTTGGAAGGTGTTTGGTATCTTTATATAAGGAATTGTTGGATATTTTATTGAATTTACCAAATTAATTGTAATTTTTTGGTAAAATACATTTGTTTTAGCAGAAATTTTTATTAGAGGCTTAATTTGTTTTCTCTATTGAGTAATGTTCAATGAAACCATGAGCCAAAAGGTATTATTTTTGTCTTCTTAAAAGTAGATTTTTAGTGTGTTTAATTAAGCCACCAGGCATTAAAAAAAATTTAGAGTCTTTGTGTCCTCAAATTTCTTAAAAATTACCTTAGCATGCATTTAGATCCTTAAAAAATAAAGCAATTTGCAAAACTTAGAAAGTTCCTGGAGGTGTCTGTATCTTACTAAGGATGTGCTCCTTGTTTTGGTAGGTATTTTGGACCAGTCTGCTGTGTGGGTTGATGAAATGAATTATTATGATATGCGTACTGACAGGAATAAAGGAATTCCTCCCTTGTCCTTACGTCCTGCTAACCCACTTGGCATTGAGATTGAAAAGTAAGTACCATTTTTCCTTCAGTTTCCTTTATTTTCAGTTGATAAAAAGTTTTATATATTTAGAGTCAAACTCTGGAAACATCAGGGAAGCACGATTTAAGACACCTTCATTGTTGGGAGACTAGTGTTATTTCTGAAATCTCATCAGTTTTGCTGCCAATTAATGTTTCCATTAATTAAAACTTTGGGCGAAAACTACTTACCTTTTTAGTTTTTTGAATTTACATTTCGCGAAGAAAACTATCTTGAAATTTTTAATAACTAATTCTTTAAAAAATCAAAGTATAGTTGACATACAGTATTATATTAGTTTTAGGTGTACAACAGTGATTTAATATCTATATATACCTCATAAAGTGATCATGGCAAGTCTGGTAACCTTCTGTCACCATACAACATTATTACGATACTCCCTATGCTGTACATTACATCCCTTTGATTTGTTTATTTTATAACTGGAAATTTGTATCTCTCAGTCCCTTCATGTTTTCTGCCCATACCCTGTCTCCTCTCCCATCTGGCAACCATCAGTTAGTGCTCTGTATCTGTATGTCTGTTTCTGTTTTGTTTATTTTGTTTTTAGATTCCACACATAGGTGAAATCATATGGTATTTGTCTTTCTCTGACTTTTTTCACTTGGCATAATACCCTCTAGGTCCATCCATGTTGTCACAAGTGGCAAGACTCATTCTTTTTTTATAGCTGAGTAATATTCCATTTTTTTAATCCTCACCCGGGAATATGTTTATCGATTTTAGACAGAGAGGAAGGGGAGAGAGAAGAGAGAGAGAACATTAATGTGAGGAAGATTGGTTGCCTCTTTTACGCACCCTAACTGGATTCGAATCCACAACCTTTTAGTGTATGGGTCAATGCTCCAGCCAGCTGAGCACCTGGCTAGGACTCCATTGTATCTCTATCATCTATCATCTATCTATCATCTATCTATCATCTCTATCTATCTATCTATCTATCTATCTATCTATCTATCTATCTATCTACCTATCTATCTATCATCTATCTATCTATCTATCTATCTATCTATCTATCTATCTATCATCTACCTATCTATCTATCATCTATCTATCTATCTATCTATCTATCATCATCTATCTATCTATCATCTATCTATCTATCATCTGTCTATCATCTATCTATCTATCTGTCTGTCTGTCTGTCTATCTATCTATCTGTCTATCTATCTATCTATCTATCTATCTATCTATCTATGTATCATCTATCTATCTATCTATCATCATCTATCTAATCATATCTCCTTTATCCACTTGTCTATTGATGGACACCTAGGTTACTCTTATATCTTGGCTATTGTCAGTAACACTGCAATAAACAAAGGGATGCATATACCCCTTTTCATAGTGGCTGCGCCAATTTACAGTTCCACAGCACTTGTTATTTGAATAACTAGTATTTATTTATTTTTTTTAATTGTACATTTCTTGGAGTCATTTACACTCTTTATTATTATTATTTTTTAAAATATATCTTTATTGATTTCAGAGAGAGGAAAGGAGAGGGAGAGAGAGAGACAGAAACACTAATGATGAGTCATTGATCGAGCCCACCACCTGGGCATGTGCCCTGACCAGGAATCGAATCCCGATCGCCTGGATCCTAGGTCGACGCTCAGCCACTGAGCCACGCCCGGCCGGGCTGAATAACTAGTATTTTTAATGATAAGAGAATGAATGCATTTTCTGGAGTTCATAAGTTTAAATAGTTAGATGGTACTTGAGTATTTATTTCAAGTATGAAATAAAAAAGGATTTTATATGTGCTTCGTATTTTGGGGAAAAATTTAGAGTAATTAGGCCCAATGTAGTCTTTCATTTTATTTAAAACCCTTGCCTAGCCTGGCTGGGCGTGGCTCAGGGTTGAGCGTTGACCTAGGATCCAGGCGATCGGGGTTTGATTCCCAGTCGGGGCACATGTTTGGGTTGCGGGCTCGAGGGAGCTGATCGGTGACTCTCTCATCATTGATGTTTATATCTCTCCTTCCCCTTTCCTCTCGCTGAAATCAATAAAGATATATTAAAAAAACCAAACAAACCCTTGCCTATAATTCATACTTAATTTAGACTTACTTTACTAGATTGTGGCAGGTGATATCTTTCAAGATGCCTTGTAATCAAATCTAGAATTTTCTTAGATCCTAGAACAATGTTGTAAGTAACTTTTATAATTAATACCTTTATCCTTGCATCTTACGTAATCAATTCTTCTAATACCTTAATTGTCTTATTTTCTGGTCTTAGTGATTCTGCTTATGTAGTGATGTATAGTGTGTTTCTTTATAAACATTTACTGAAGATGACAGATTCGTTCTGTTAACACTTTTTAAATTAAAAAAAACAAAACATGTCTATTTCAGAGAGGAAGGCAGAAGGGAAAGAGAGAGAGAAAAACATCAATGATGAGAATTATTGATTGGTTGCCTCCTGCATGTCCCCCACTGGGGGTCAAGCCTGCAGGCCAGGCATGTGCCCTAACCGGGAATCGAACTGGGATCTCCTAGATCGTAGGTCAGTGCTCAAATGGTGAGCTGCTCAACCACTGAGCCATGCTGGCTGGGCTTAACTTTTTTTTTTTTTTTAAACCCGCACTGGAGGATTTTTTTTTTCATTGCTTTTCAGAGAGAGAGAAAGAAACATGGGTGTGGGAGAGATACACCAATTGGCAGCCTCCTGCACACACCTGGACCAGGGTCGAGGATCAATCCTCTAACCGTGGTACGCGCCCTTGGTTGGAATTGAACCCAGGACCCTTCAGTCTGTGGACCAGTGCTCTAACCACTGAGCAAACGGGCTAGAGCCATTCTGTTAACACTTTAACTATAGCTTTATTTTAGGTTTTTCTAGGCAGGGAGAATATTCTCCACTAATCTATACATTTAACTTTGAAGCCTACACTGAACACCATTAGTAATTCAAATAGCAAGCTGCTTTTCACCTGCTGGGGTTTACCCCTAGCTGAGAGGGAGGCATTAAGTGTTTGTCTTGGGACATTATCATGTGTTGAAAAAGTCCTGAGGCTGAGCAGCTTTTCCTGAGCTAGGGCTGTTCTAGGTCACATCTTTGAAGCTTTTCTGTAGTGTGGGTCATTCTGGAGCTGTTTTAAGGATTTCAGTACTCTTTAAATTATGAGTTTAAGAATCAAGAAAGTCCAGAAAAGAATGGTAATTGCTAGATATTTATTTGAGCGCAGTTTCAAGCATGAGTAGACTTTGCAGTTGATTGTAAAACTTTTAATGGCCTCTCAAAAGTCAGTTAATTTTATTCCAAGGTCTGCCACAGAAGAAGTGTAGAGCAGAAGGGCCCTTTTGATTGTTCTTACATAAAGAACCAGTTCTGTACATGGACACAGGGGTATAAGAATGTTGTATGAATTTTGTACAAGTGTTAGACAAAACTATCAAAGTTAGGATTAAATTGGATGTTTACTATCATAATGTGAATTTCTTTAAATTTTAGTTTTTCATACAACCCATCCCGTTTGATCTCTTTACTTTCTCATGTCCGCTCACCTTTTATCTCTGTTTTTCCTGTTGCTGCTGCTACCCACAAAGGTGTTTGGCTTGCACTCTCTCTAATAGCAGTTTTTAAAAATGGGTTTCAGGATAATAATATGCATTCCTTTGATAATGTTGGTAACAACAGCCAGGAATAATGGCACTAAAAGTGCTCAGCTCTTTAAAATTTTTTTTTTGCTTTCTTCTCTGAGCCATAATCCAATTTAGCCTGGAGACATACTCTGAGTTTAAATCATAGCTCTAGCCCTTACTGGCAGTTCTACTTTGAGCAGGTTACTTTACTTCTGTTTGCTGTATTTGGAGTCCCTCCTCGCAGGGTGGTTGTGAGGATTCAGTGAGTGAGCAGTGCCTTGAAGTGGTGCCTCACTCATAGCAAGTGCTTGATCAATGCTAATCATTATTGGTGTGATTTTTCCCTCTTCATTTGTATATACTCTTCAGTGCTCTGCCACTTAGGAGAAGAATCTCTTTTAATGATTAAGAAGGCAGGATAATAAATTGTATTAAAATCTTAAAAGAGTATTATGTATAATATGATAATTCAAGGAAGGCTTAAATGGTGATAAAATTAGCAGTAATATTTATTTTGAGCTGTTACGTTTAAGTAATATGTGCTCATCCATGGGATAATTAAAGGATAATTTTTGAAAAGGTAAAGTCATGACATTCATACATATATAAAATGAACATGTGTCAGAGCTTTTATTAGTTCATTAGTTAGTGGGAAAACCAGTAAACCACTGAAACCAGTTCAAAGGGAATTCCAGAGAAGAGACATGAAAAGGCAATGAGGAACACTAAAAGGTGCAAAACCGGCCACTTCTGCGTGATAATTAGTTGTATCTTCACCCGATAATGTGGCCAAGGATCCCCACTCACCATCAGCCCTCCACAAGTTAACTTCTGTTTCTATAACACAATTGCAAAATAGAGACAAAGAAAGGCACAGATCTCTATAGAATCAGAAAACACTGGGAAGGCCCTCCAGACAGGGAGAGGACATCCAGTAACCGTTTTTGTCTGTTTAAAGTTTTTATAATTTTCCCAGTCAAAAGAAAGAGGGCAGACACCTGAGGAAGCAAGAAAGTAAAAGGTGAAAGTATGCATAGTTATATAAACCAAGAGAAGAGAGCCTTTTGATCAGACAGATGCTCTTCCGTTTTTTTTTTGTCAGCTAGAATGCATTTATTTTATTGAACTTTGACCTCTGATAGAGAAGTCTTATTTTAGAAAAAGAAGAGAACAGGAAAGGAGAAGCAGATGTTAAAATACTGGTGGTGTGGGTTTTATATCTCTGACTCATTATTTTTTAGTAAAAGCTTTGGTCTCCATAGAGAATGGTGTTACATTTAGATGAGAATCACTAAGAGCATTTTTTAACTCTTTTATTTCTGTTTATTTATGTCATTTGGAGGTTTCTTTTGTAATTAAAAGGCTGAAGAGGACCTA